TTAACATTACAGACCTGCATTTGTTTTATGCGTTCACTTGATTCCGCGAATGTGAAATAGACATGTGTAGCGGAGCTTTCAAAGCGCTCCGCTAGTACCCTTTCGAGGGCGCTGTCCTCGGCAGCGCCGATATCAACCCCACCAAGCTCACCCCCACTGGAACGCACCCCACCTGAAGTTACTTCATTGTGCAGGTACTCCCACGCATCTCAACCCTGCCTATAAAAGGGCAACTCGGACGCTTTCCAAGCAGATGGAACTCCACCATCTCCACCTTAAGGGTTGCACTGTCTCGGTCCCCTTCTGGTCGTTTCCAGGGCTGCACTGTGTTACGGTCCCCTGCGCTACTTCGAGATCATCACCAGGGCTGCACTGTGTTACGGTCCCCTGCGCTGCTTCGAGATATTATCACCAGGGCTGCACTGTTTTACGGTCCCCTGCGCTGCTTCGAGATCTTCACCAGGGCTGCACTGTTTTACGGTCCCCTGCGCCGCTTCGAGATCTTCACCAGGGCTGCACTGTTTTACGGTCCCCTGCGCCGCTTCAACGACGTCATCTCCAGGGTCGCACTCTCTAGGTCCCCTGTGCCGTATCACCGACGTCGTCATCTCCAGGGTCGCACTGTCCAGGTCCCCTGTGCCGCATCGCCGACGTCGTCATCTCCAGGGTCGCACTCTCTAGGTCCCCTGTGCCGCATCGCCGACGTCGTCATCTCCAGGGTCGTACTCTCTAGGTCCCCTGTGCCGCATCGCCGACGTCATCTCCAGGGTCGCACTCTCTAGGTCCCCTGTGCCGTATCGCCGACGTCGTCATCTCCAGGGTCGCACTGTCCAGGTCCCCTGTGCCGCATCGCCGACGTCGTCGTCTCCAGGGTCGCATTCTCTAGGTTTCCTGTACCGCATCGCCGACGTCGTCATCTCCAGGGTCGCACTGTCCAGGTGCCCTGTGCTACATACATCGCTGCCGTCATCCCCTACGACGCTCTGAGTCCCAGGAGCCGCCACCATCCCCGACGAGAATTGCCACCACTTCGAGAACCTATACCCTACTTTTGATTTGTATTGTTCTTATTATTAATAAACCGCTGAGCTACCACAATCTGTCGCCCTCACGTGGGGCCGCGAACAAGGGAGGATACCACAATCTGGCGCCCAACTTAGTGGCTCGAAGGAGGCAACATTCTACAAATCTATCGCCCAACTTAGTGGGGCTCGAGGTAGGCAAAATACCACAAAACTGTCTACCAACGTCGCGGCTCGAAGAAGGCAAGATTCCACGGCAAAAAAAAAGAACTCACACTCCCAGTCCGAAGAAGTCCCCGTAACTCCACAATGGCGGCTATACAGATGACACCAGAGCAGTTCCAGCAGCTCTTGGATAGGGTACAAGTTGTCCCACAACCGCAAGTGGTCAGGAACCGCCACTTTACCCACTGCCAGGCCCGTTTTGACGGAAAGCGCGCCCACGCTGCTGTAACGGAATTTATTACGGCTGCGAGTTTATACAAGGATATGGAAAATATCACGGACGAGGACGCCATAGCCGGCTTACCCCTACTATTGACTGGAGAAGCCAATCAATGGTGGAATGGCGTGAAAAATCAGATTCACACATGGAGAGAAGCGACGGAACTTCTACGAGAAGCTTTTGCCCCCAGACGACCTAACCATCGCCTTTTTTTGGACATTTTTAATAATCCCCAGGACGAAAAGACGCCAACCGATAAGTTCATAACCGTCCAACGAGAACGACTGGCACAAATGACGAGAGACTTGGACGAGGAATGGCAGTTAGACATAATCTACGGTCTGCTGAGATACCATATTCGGGATAAAATCGCCAGGTCCGACTGCAGGTCCTTCGCCGAACTTCTCGATCAGTCCCGAATCGTTGAGGAGAACGAGCGAGAAACGAGAGTTAGAAACCACGCACCAGAAACCCCAGAAAATGGCCAAACATTCCGACGGCAAGAATTCCCAAGAATCGACCGAAGACCACGGCCCAGGTGCGATTTCTGTAAGAACTTTGGCCACGAGACACAAGAATGCAGGAGAAAAACACAGGATCAGCGACGACCGGCCAATGACCAAGAGATCATTAGATGTTACGGATGCCAACGTCCCGGCGTTTTCCGCCGGAACTGTCCAAACTGCAATTCAGAGACACGACGGACAAACCTCTGTGCAGCGAGGATAAATTCTAGAGCGCAACCCACCATAGATCGCTCACAAGAAATCCTCCGAGATACGCAGGTACCGCCACTCACCGTACCGATGCAAATCGATGACATCCGGACCTTCTCCGCACCATCACCAGCCCGAGATTTTTCCGCGATGGAATACATGGGGGCTGACGCCCACTCCGCCATTGGGAATGAGAAATTCCCCGAAATTCCGCGCATCACGTTCTCCTCTTTGCAACTTCCAGCAGAGAAAGGACGGACCTTCCGCAAAGAAAAGATGTCCCGGCGTAAAGGGCGGAGGAAGATGAGGAAACCCTTTGTGCTAACGACAGATAGCAGCTACGTACGAGGAGTAGCTCCACTCCAGGGGGAGGCCACCAACGAACTCCCTGTAAAATACGGTAGCCGCTTGTTCACGAGCGCCGAAAGGAAATACACCGTCCAGTCGCGAAGACCCGCACACGAGTACCAACCCCGAGATCAAGTACTGGTAGTAACCCATCCACGAATCAACGCTCGAAAAGGAGTCAGCGCCCAAATTGCTCCTAAACGCGAGAGGCCTTACATTAGGCGCCCACAAGGACCTACGAGTTATAAGGTATACGACGCACAGCATCCCCAAGCATCCCTAGGTTTCTACCATACTCCGTTTCACGGGAGCACTACACCTACGCCAGCGCCAGTGGCCCCGCTACGAAAACGAGGCCGCCTCAGAAAGCAAGTTCAGGACCATAGTCGGGACGCCTTAATGGTCCTGAGGGGGAGATTGTAGCGGAGCTTTCAAAGCGCTCCGCTAGTACCCTTTCGAGGGCGCTGTCCTCGGCAGCGCCGATATCAACCCCACCAAGCTCACCCCCACTGGAACGCACCCCACCTGAAGTTACTTCATTGTGCAGGTACTCCCACGCATCTCAACCCTGCCTATAAAAGGGCAACTCGGACGCTTTCCAAGCAGATGGAACTCCACCATCTCCACCTTAAGGGTTGCACTGTCTCGGTCCCCTTCTGGTCGTTTCCAGGGCTGCACTGTGTTACGGTCCCCTGCGCTACTTCGAGATCATCACCAGGGCTGCACTGTGTTACGGTCCCCTGCGCTGCTTCGAGATATTATCACCAGGGCTGCACTGTTTTACGGTCCCCTGCGCTGCTTCGAGATCTTCACCAGGGCTGCACTGTTTTACGGTCCCCTGCGCCGCTTCGAGATCTTCACCAGGGCTGCACTGTTTTACGGTCCCCTGCGCCGCTTCAACGACGTCATCTCCAGGGTCGCACTCTCTAGGTCCCCTGTGCCGCATCGCCGACGTCGTCATCTCCAGGGTCGCACTGTCTAGGTCCCCTGTGCCGCATCGCCGACGTCGTCATCTCCAGGGTCGCACTCTCTAGGTCCCCTGTGCCGTATCACCGACGTCGTCATCTCCAGGGTCGCACTGTCCAGGTCCCCTGTGCCGCATCGCCGACGTCGTCATCTCCAGGGTCGCACTCTCTAGGTCCCCTGTGCCGCATCGCCGACGTCGTCATCTCCAGGGTCGTACTCTCTAGGTCCCCTGTGCCGCATCGCCGACGTCATCTCCAGGGTCGCACTCTCTAGGTCCCCTGTGCCGTATCGCCGACGTCGTCATCTCCAGGGTCGCACTGTCCAGGTCCCCTGTGCCGCATCGCCGACGTCGTCGTCTCCAGGGTCGCATTCTCTAGGTTTCCTGTACCGCATCGCCGACGTCGTCATCTCCAGGGTCGCACTGTCCAGGTGCCCTGTGCTACATACATCGCTGCCGTCATCCCCTACGACGCTCTGAGTCCCAGGAGCCGCCACCATCCCCGACGAGAATTGCCACCACTTCGAGAACCTATACCCTACTTTTGATTTGTATTGTTCTTATTATTAATAAACCGCTGAGCTACCACAATCTGTCGCCCTCACGTGGGGCCGCGAACAAGGGAGGATACCACACATGTTTATAATCAACCAATTGTGAATTTCACCGTCAAGAATTAAAATAAAACCCAATGTTTTATATAATAAGCGGAAGTCGAAGCAATAAAACCGACGGTCGTTTTGTTTACAGTTTCTGTGTTTGGCTCTCACGTATGCTGTTACGCCTGTCATCTTAAATTAATAATGTTTATACATACACGATTTTCAGTTGCCTCTGATACGTAGGTATACGTGAGTAAATTGTTTCGTTATTTTATTGATTATTACAAATCAATATTCAAACGACCCAATTCATTTTCCCGAAAATTTGAGAATATAATAATTTTATTCTTAGTATTACACTACATCTATCCCAACTGATATACGTGTCCTTGCAAAAATGTTGATGACGTCATCGCAATTTTTTTTTAAATTCCCACTACAAAAATGTAATGAGAAAAAAAACACAATAGGCATGCAGTCGTCAAGTTTCCGACAGCGAGGGAAGTACTGTCTAAACTCTTTAGACCAATTTTTATATAACACTTTTCTGTTGATTTTGTACACGGTGCCTCGATTTTGGTAAAACTGTTTTTCCATCAAATTTCTGATTTCGTGTCAGAATTGTGTATCAAAATGTTCATAACAACATTTTTAAATATGACTCAACAAAACCACGGAATAGATGTTCACACATCCCACATTCCCCTATTTACAGGATCCCAGCAATGGAGGTTTCGCCATATCGGGAGTGGAATCTTTAATCGCGTCGATTTAAACACACTTTTGGCTTCTCCACCAAATATTGACACAGATAGCAACAATACTTTATTCACAACCGAATGTTTATCTAACTCCTCCCAAAATATCCCTGCCTTTTCCGGTTTGTGTATATTCGCAATCGCAATAACCAACCTCTATCAGTCCCATGTTCGCATCGAGATACCTACTGCCACCTTCCGTTCGCACCGCTAACTTCTCCCTATTTATAAATATTCTAATTTGATCGTAATTCATAACAGTCCCATTCTGCCACATGTGAAACGTGAGAACCTTATTCCTAAAACAGCTGTGAGTGTTAAGCGTGTAAAAAAACATAATGGGCCGCAAAAACAAGACCAACCACACGCTGCAACCTGTGAAAACAAGGAACCAACGTAACCTAACACCGGATCAGCGCGAGCTCGAAGAATTGGTGGACAAATTGTTGCGAATAAGTACACTTCCTCAACAACCCATCATCCAAAAATCACTCGAAAACCAAAAGGAGATAAATAACATAACTGAAAGAGTGAAAAAGTTAGAAGTAAATAAAGATTCGAAAAGCTCGGTCGATAATCGTGTAACTAGCGCCATCATCAACAACTTCATGAAATGGTGCACCGAGAATGGCGCGCATTTGAATGGTTGCAGCATTCAAGAGTTTGAAGGGTACGAACTAGGGATTAAAGCTGAAGTTGATATTCAGCAATCAAGTTTGGTCATTGCTGTGCCGAGGAAGTTGATGATGAGTATCGAAAATGCTAGAGAGAGTATATTGAAGGATTTGGTACAAAAGGATAAAATTTTAAGTACTATGCCCAATGTAACGTTGGCGATTTTTCTTCTTCTTGAAAAGTTTAAAGGAGATTCATTTTGGAAACCTTACATTGAAATTTTGCCAAAAACTTATACCACAGTATTATATTTCAGTATCGAAGAATTGGAAGAACTGAAGGGAAGTCCCACACTGGATTTGGCTTTGAGGCAAATTAAGAGTATTTCGAGGCAATATGCGTATTTTCATAAATTGTTTGCTACTTCTGACGATCCTGTAAGCAAGGTGATGAGGAACCGGTTCACTTTTAAAGAGTATTGGTAAGCCACTTTAGCAGAAGTTTTAGGATGTAGTATCCTCGGTTTTACTTCCATTTCATATTATATTATGTTTATTATTCGACGAAAACCCCGAAAAATTGTCAGAAACTTGGCTCAAATTCTCGTGACTATTTGACACCTGCATAAAACAAATTCACTTAATTTTAACAGCAAATTTATGTAACAGAAATTTTAAAGAATATTACATATTATGTTGTCGTCAGAACTCAATTTTTTAAATGATTTGTGAATGTAAAAAAATATGTTGCACATTATTTTCCACACCTTAGAACTTTAACTAAAATTTATTTTTTCACCCTCGACTCCCTGAAAGTCAGTAACCATTTGAAAAAAATATTATATAAATCTTTATCAACCCTAAGGTATCCTTTGTATTTTAGTAAAATGCCTTTATTTTTTAGAACTATTTACATATAATTCTTAGAAATAAATCTACGAACATTACTGCATCGAATTATCGACTATAGGTTACCTCTATTTTTTTTGTTTCCACCACAACGTCTCTGAAGTGGGAATTAAAACCCTTCAAATTCCATAACGAACGTGTTTCAGCTTTGTTAACTGCTGTTTTACTTCAATCATGGTGAGTTGGTCAAAACAAAAATTAAATTAAAGAAGTGTAATTTTATTTTTGATTTATAAAATCGATGGTGGGTTATGAAATCACACAAAAGTTGTAATGATACGTGTATACAACTAAAGATCAAACCAATTACATACATATTTTCACTTTAGTGTAATTGCAACTTTGTAAATATTGACTTGTTCAGTTATCAAAAAATAATATTGTCGTTTATATTAACCCTGTCTAGTGTCCACAGATCGGTAATACAGTAACAGATGCTACGCAACCTTTATCCGTAAAAATAATCACAGAATCAAAAATGAATTATTATGTAATACGAAAGTATTTTACTCCATTAACCATATTTCGTCGTCGATCATACGACATAATTAAAGTTTTTTGCGAGCTAAATCGTTTTCTTGCTGTAATTTTGGAAACTGTAATTGAACGTTAATACAAATAACCTATTTTCTTACATTTATTCAACTTCCCAAATATGGGTCATTTGTTAAATGTAGCTGACTCATAGGGAGTTGATAATAATTAATCGATGTGAAATTAAAAAAAAAAAGGGAAGAATACGTAAAAAGTTTAACAGTGAAATCTCTGTAGTACCCGCTTGTAAAAATCAGTACAATATCAAAAGTATTTAAAATATCTGCTAAATTAAAATGATAAAATTTAACTTTTAAAAATATTGATTTCTAAAAAATTTTGTGGTGACTATTTTTGACACATGACATCTTAACGTTTACTAAAATAAAATAATGCCGAAAAATGTACGACAGAGTGAAAAAAAGAATAATATAAAAACTGACGTCTTCATTGTTTACATTTCAACGCCAGCTTTCTGACAGTTTTCCGGATAAACCCCTTCCTAAACTCCAGACCGCGCGGACTAATTACAAAGTCAATGATTTCTCTTGAAATAATTATACTTACACATGCACACACATCACTAAATAGCCAAAAAATTCATGTTACATAATTTCAACATATATATCGCAACAAATACATTAAGACCGGAAACTACTGTTTGCTCAAGAACGATAACGTAACAAACTTAACACTAAAAAATAATTTAATAGTAATACTACAAAATCGTCTATTCATAACACACTTAATACATAATTACTTAAAAATACACAACAATGAAAAATGACATCTACAGTCGAAAATGTGAGTGAAGTCTTAATAAATATTGCACTTAATAATCACATAAATAACAATAAATAGAACCACCTACAAAGTTTAAATCATGTACGATTTTTTCTCTTCGTTGTCCCATATCGAATCAGACATACTCTGCATGTGTGTCTTATAATAATTTTTCTTCCTTCCTAGGGTCTCTGACACGAAAGTTCTAAATGTCCTTTTTTGGTTAGGTTCTAAAATCGGCGACCTAATTTTCGAACCTAAGAAACTTCCATTATAATTCAGTCTTGCCTTTTTTTTATGTGACCACTTAAAGATGAGTAGAATGGTTAAAAATACCAACAAGGACAATCCTATAATTGCTAAGCTTGCTAAAATAGCAGATTTCACTCCGGAAGGCAAATTGATAAATTCTTCTTCGTCATCACTATAAACATTCTGCGGTAAATCGACCTTCAATTGCTCATTAGCTGCTTCAGCCAACGCATTCTCAATCTCTTCCAGTCTCTCGAGTTCTTCAAAGCTCATTTTTTCCGTAGTGGTTGTGATAGGTTGTACAAATCCGGGGGTATCTTGGAGATTATTATTTTCATAAGCGTCTTCAAAGAAATGTGGGTATAGTTGCTGCCAAATGGGAAAAAAGGGCTGAATATTCGCATCTTTATTCGTTTCGATTTTATAAGTGGGGAAACTCGTAATAGTATAGGGCAGTTTAGTTGTCAATTCCTTCTCAATTTTCAAAGAGGATTGAGTTATTGGTGTTACTTCTGGAGAAATAGGCATAGTTTTCGCTTTACGATTGATGAAGGGATGATCATCTAAAACATCTCCTTGGATGTGCCCAATAAACGGCTCGTCTTTGGGTTCAGGCTCTAAGGTTTTGTTGTGGAAAATATCGGCTAGGTGTAATTGACTTGAACCTCTTTCTCTTAATTGCACTAATTCTTCAACGGTCATATTACGCGTACTCAAAATCTTTGAAAGATTTTCACGCTCAAAGGGATTTTTCAAAATTTCCATTATTTCTTCTTTGGCCGTCACGCGTTTCAGCTTTAAGCCCACAGACGCAGTTGTCGTTTTTGGTAACTCTTCTAGAATTAATACAGGTGTTGCTGTTGTGATAGTGTTTTCACTTTCAGATGGTAGTTCTGTGGTGGCTATTTCTGTTAAATCTATAATCATTTTTAGAGGCCCATCGGATATTTCTGTCTCATTCTTTTCACTAATGCTGCTAAGACCAAATATGTCGTTCAAATTAATAGGTATAGCTTGACTAGGCAGCTTGGGTGTGTCTTTAACTACTTTGTTTAGTTTTGCACTTGTCATAGGCAGCCCTCTTTGCCTTGATTTGGGTGAGGTTAGTGGTGCTTGTGTCGTCGTGCTCGTCGTTGTCGTTGTAGCGGTCGTCGTCGTCGTTGTTGTTCTTGTTGTTGTAGGTATCGTAATAATTTGCTCCGTACTAACTAAATTAGAGGATTTGGGACTTGAAGGTACAAATACCCGTTTTTCCGTTGTAGCTTCGGTAACCACGTCAAACTGAACGACATCAGGGAACATCTTCGTATCTTTATGACTATGCAACAACGCTAATCGTTTTCTTTGAGCTTCTATAACTTCATATGAGCTTAAGTTGTCGCTAGTACGTACAAAATTCCTATTAATATCTTTCTTCAACCCTATGGAAGGTGGTAATCTCCGATGTTTAAATCCTTTGGTCGAAGTAACTATTTCAGTAGTGGTTTCTGTTTCTCTAGCAAGAACGGAAATTGCCTGTCGATTCCCTTTCAACAACTCCGAAAGGGTCAAATTTTTCTGTTGCAAAACCTCACTCAAACTTAGTCCACCACTTTGCTTAAGAAGCGTCTTTAAATCAGGAGTTTTTGTACTATCTTCAACTTTCGTCTTCTGCTTTTCTTCTGCTTCTTGCAGCGCTGTAAAGGGATCACGCACCCGTTCGTAAGTTTTAACTTCTTCTTCATCATAAACCGGTATTAAACGTCTCCTACTGTTTGATTTCTGCGCGATTTCGTCACCCATCTCTTCCCATGGTTCTTTGATTTGGTCAAGTCTTTGCGGGCGTACTTTTCTTCGGGGTGGAGAAGATTCTTCAGCGTCTTGTACGGGGAGAACAGGTGGTCTACGTTTTCTTTTGCGTATTCTGCGACGTTTTATTGGTTGCTCTTGGACATCGGGCTGGGGAACCCATCCTGAAATACCTTGATGAGGAGGAGAATAATCCACTGCGCGCCAATCCTGTAATTCAACAAATGTGGAAATAATTATAAGATTGACAGATTAGATTAGCGAATGCCATTTAAGTCCAATTGAGTTCAATGGACGCCTGCATAAGGTAAACTACACACTATGAAGGTCAACATTATTATTATTACAGTGGCTAGTGCTATGTTAAGGAGACAGGAAGTATGTTTTGTCCTAGATTATTTTTTGCAGTGATTACTGGCACAAAAGTCGATCAATGGCAGCATTTAACCAACTGAAGCAAGGCAATTATCGCGATAATACTCAGAAACTTTTCTTATTGTCAACACAAATATGCATTATTGTGTTAAGGACGTCGCTGCTGATTACATTGTTAATTAATAACTCAATTAACTAGTTTACTGTTAAATTTATCAGAACGACCTACTCTTTCATCCTGAAGAGAATCGATTAGCATTTAATAAAATTGAGGTGAAAGTTTAATTTTACTTTTACACTTACTGCCGGGATCACTATAAATTTTATAATGGCATCGGTATTGAAAATTGACGACGGTCATAAACAAATTACATGACACTTTTAGTAGTGCGTAAAACGAAATTGAGGTAGATCACGGACTAATTTCGCAAGTAACAAGGATTTAACCGGTTTTATAAAATGTGATTATCTCTATGAATTGGCTAACAGGAATGAAATTAATTTCTTGTTTAAATAAGAATCTCAAGGTCGCATATTTATGATTCGATTATTATTGTTGCGAATAATACACAGTGTAATTAAATATCGTGGCATCTGAATCACTCTGCAATCCTTAAGTTTAACATTTCCCATTCATTGTATTGATCAAACAAGGCTCTATGCTCCATTGAGGTTTTAACAAGAATCCATTGATCAACCGGTATTACTTAATACCTAAATTTGAACACAGTTGCAAATTTGCATTACCGGTGAGTAATCTTTACCTGGTTGTAATCACGAAGGTCTCTTTCTTCTTGAACCTTTTCTTCCTGTTGACTTAAATCCTGAGCAAACGTCACACAGATTATCACAAGCACACTTAATCCTACGAATAGCTGCATTTTCACTCAACTCGAAAATATTCCAGGCACGTTAATTTCTCCGATGTTTAGACAGCAGTCGCATGCTGCACCACTGTACTGTTTGGATTTGTATTGAGTGATAATTTACCATGTGCTCGGCACGTCTGAAACCTTTCACCAATAGTGGGGAGAAAAGTAGTAGTCAATCAAAGATTTTTCTGGCACGCCAAGTGCTGTATGGCTTTCTCCAAATTGTAGGTGCAAGTTTCAGTTGTGGAGTGGGGGAGCTTCGCATCTTCAGTACCAGCGCCGACTCCAGGGGACACAGTTTTTTAACTTTGATGGAGAGGAGAGGGAAAAACATCTTTTACCGCATCTGTGATTACTAAAATTAATATATAAATAATTTAACAGTCGTATTTAAGAAAATAATGAAAATAATAGGTTATTACGGGAGATTTCCATAAGTGCAAAAGCCAGATTTAGTGACATGTTAAAGTACCACAGTACCAGATTATGTGACAGCATATTCTTCTTTTCAAATTTACTGATATTGACTAAATGGTCATTTACACTGAGGTTACTTTGACCCTCCTAACTATAGCCCCAAAAAATGTTTGTTCTCAATAATACACAACAGGAAAACGACATATATTTATTTTTTAAAGGCGAAGAAGTATGACACGTTTTAAGACTGCACAGTTAAGTAACCATATCGAGGAACACCGTGCTATAAACTTCAAATAAACGAAGTGTGACTATCACATCATACATGAGGATAACATAGTCAACAATTTAAATAAAAAACAAGAGTCGTTCCCGAGCATTAATTTTTCAATCAAAAAAACTACACAATTTTATTTTATTGAAGAAAAATGCTTATGCAACATATGATTTCTTCATGGGATTTTTTTTAAATATACTTTATTCTTTACTTATGTAGGAAAGCTAAAACTAATGCAAATAAAACAATGAACCGAGAGTGAAAACGAATTATTTTTATATAAAACTGTAATTATACAGCATACATATTTGATAATTATATTATCGAATTCATATGTATTATCATTTTCAGTTCCATTGTATTGCTTATGTAATTCGAAACGATATTGTAAAAAAAAATATATTTAGAAACCTAATATTAATTTAAAAAAAGTAAATACGATAATTGAACTGCTCAGTTACAAATAAGGAAATTTCCAAGAAAAATCTAAAATTATTTAAAGAAAAATTCACCCCCATTAGACAACTACAATAGGTCTACGATTATGGAGTTAAAAACTATACTCAATTTCATAGAGTCCTTAAAAAACTAGTTTTTTTTTTTATTATTACATATATAACCGTAAAATATTGAAATTTATTATATTACGTAATAATATTTTACAGGTGTGTACAGGTGTCAAAAAAAATTAATTACTTTTCTTTTGTATAACAATGGTCGTGCTATCCGAGTAGAATTTAATAATAATTGTACTGCAGTCTTAAAAACGCAAAACAACAAACAACCTCAAATCAATTTTGCTCAATATCTGTACGTTAAATAATAATTAATAAAAAAGGCATTTTACTTTTTAAGAGTACATATAAGGTTTTTTACAACATTTAAAATAAAATAAATCTTCGCCCTTACAAAATAACAAAATATTTTTCAAAGTAAAGAATTTTTTCGAAACAAGAATAAATTTTACTTCAAAATTTCTTAAAAAAAATGTATTTAATTTTGAACACTTTTTTTTTTATTTTTTAAACCAGAAAGAATTTATTCTTCAGTGATACGAATACAACAATAGGTATGGTGCAGCAGATAATTACCAACCTAAATAGTAAATATATAATAAAATTTAACCTAACTTGGTACTTTAATTTTATTTTTTGCAACCTTCTAAAGCAAAAAGATTGTTGGTTTTTAGTACAAACATATAACATCAACATCAACTGCGTATTTATTAACTTCCCTCACATGTGAAACATAATCTACACTATACCGAATATCTCCCTGGAAGAAATACACAGTAGATAATAATATCGAAAAAATCAGAGTTGCAAGATCTACAACACGAGATTCTGTTTACATTATTGAATATAGCCTTGTAAATAAAGCGTCCCAGGTGTTCAATTGATTTCATTTATAATTTCTTTCGTATTTGTTTTTTAATGTTTGTGCTTTTTCATATGAAAATAAACTATTGAGGGCATAGTTTTATAGAATTATTAATGCCGGATTTCACATTTTTTCCTAAAATGTAATCTATACAAAAAATAATTCTAATATTTTAGAATTATTCACCGGAAATTCTAGATCTTTTTTACAAATTTTAACATATGTATACGAGTATATAGACCAACCGGGTGTAGAATGGTGATAAACTAACGCACAGTGCGCAATAAAAGTTTTAATAATTTTTAAAAATCATGACAAGAAAAATAGTACGATCAAAAACTATATTTTCAACTAATTGAACCGCCTATATCTGTTGTTGTTATAATGACGATATATCGTAATAAAACCATCTTTAATAGGGCCACGTCTTCTTTTCTAGCTACATTTTATAATTGTACTATGTATACATGTAATTTAATATTTACCAAAACATCTAAATTAACCTAGATTTAGTATTTTTTCTAGACTAAATTTAATTATCCAATTGGCTGATATTTTCTGTTCTATGAACTCAAAAATTAAGAAAATTGTCACTATTTTGTCTCCCATTACAACACAAGCAGATAGTGGAACATACTTTTATTGTGTTTGATGTGTTACATTGTCACCACTGTGTGCAGTTATTGTACTTTTTTTTTTTTGTTATTAGCTCACTAGTTGTCCCCATACCAATTTAAAAGTCCTCGTCCAGACTCCGTACCAACCATTACTCAAACTGTTTTTCTAATAACACGTTACAAAATGGTGCCATCTCCTTTCACGATTTGGTAATTGGCAATTTTCAACCGCAGTTTCTCTACAGTTAATTAAAATTTCCTCTACAACCCGAAAAAGGCGGGCGGTTGAGAGATTCCAGCGTCTGGAGATTTAATCAATGAACGCTTCATTGTGTGTTGACTCGTAGGTGTACCCACTTTATTTAAATTTCTTTTTTCCCTCATATCCGATGTCGGTTCCTTATTACGCCCTGTCGTTTAAAATTTTATCGAATATTTTTTTATGGGAATAGGATGGGCAGCGAAACTGTCAAGGTACTGAAAAGAGCTTTTCATGTTTCGTCGACGCAAAGAGGGCTGTATTGGGCCATAAAAGAAGAAAGTTCTATTAGCCGTTTCGTGGAAGCTCTTTATTTTTAAAACAGACGTCTCCGAGAGGGCGACAACATTTTAATCTCGTTCACTAGCCCGGAGGGCTGCTGCATTTCATGTTAATCAGTACAACCACGGAAGCGTCATTGACAAAAATCGTTTGCATTAAGCAGGTTTTTCGGGTGATGCAATAAAGCTGTCGGCGTGAACGGGAACCCAATTATTTTTTGGATTATTTTTATTGTTGTTGTAAAAGTTGCAAGTGAGTGTCTTTGCGCAACTTTTAATTATCTGAATTTTCGTGCATGCGATGAGAAGACTGACTTATTTTAAAGCGGAAGACGTCTTTTGTTATTCTTTATTGTTATAGGAAGGATTTGATACAGCCCTAACATAGTCGTAAAATAAGTTCGTTTCTCTAGTGAATGAATGCTTCTCAAATTCGATGAACAACTGGTGTAGTTGCTCGGGATCGCACTGGTGGGATTTATGAGGGTTATAATCTGGAGATGGTGGGTAATATAGCTACCTACATCCGAGAACTTAAGCTAGTGTTTCGATGTAATTTTTGATTAATGCTATAAACTTACTGTAGGAATCTGTTTTTATTTTCCATAAAATTTAGAGAGTACTTGTCGATATAATAAAAATAAATTAATTTTGTTTTGTTAGAATTGTATCTGTCGTCTTTTTTATGATTTATTTAAAAGCACGTACTGACAATAAGAAAGAGAAACTGCAACATTGTAGACTGCATTTTTTAGTTTCGCAAGTCCAGTGACAAAATTGGCAGCGACGTAAATCTGATTATTATTATTAATATTATTAATTATTATACTAACGGCGGCTCTGGACGTACTACTAAATTAATAAATCTTAAGAAATTAAATGTATGTATTAAAAAAGTCGATGTAAATTATTTTTTCATCCCCTTTCACGACACTGATGTCATCTCAAAATTCACCCTGAAATCCTTGCCGGTGTTTCGCCAATATCTATATAAAAAAAATTAATATCATGCTATAAACAGATATTAAATATTTTTACCACGAATTCAGTATATTAATTAATTTAAATATATACGACATAAAACTAATCGTAAATAAGCATACCTACAAAATTTAAATATGGTCAGCTGCATTTTCTTAAAGTATAAAGTTAATTTATAAACAAACTATTGCGAAAATATTGTCTCTGTAGAATAGAGAGAGAGTTCTGTTTTTGTTGCAGCTATAAATGTGTTAATTAAAAAACAAATTGCAAAAATCAGAAATAAACAAAGCTATAAAAGATTTTTTGCTTAATTTTTTTTTTGTTTTCACCCAAAGACAGTTTGCATTATAAAAACGGTATAATTTTGGTTTACACTACTTAAAATTATAAACACCAAATTACGTATTCAAGTGTCTTCGAATTGGAAGAAAGCTGTTATTTCTTTAATTTATTTTTTCGTTGTGTACTGGATAATCGAAATTCGGTGAATGTAGAGCAACCGAATTATAATAAATTAATTATATAACTGGCAGATTTTTTGATATATGAAGTTTTAATTGCCTGTTATATCATTTGCAAAATTTCTAGAAGTATCCAAAAAATAAAAATACTTTTAGAATATGTTATTAAATTATCAAAACTGTTCTAGAAACTAGGCTATCTCCCCGGGTCAGAAAATGTCTGCACTCATTTTTGTTTATTGTTCGATGAATAAACTTCAAACCTATTCATGAAGATCCGTTTGAAATACGTTAGATGAAAATTTTCGTACTGAATTATGTATGTGCATTAACACTTCATTTAAAAATGATGTGATGGATTCTCACGTCTCAGAACGTCATTAACATTGACACGATAGGAATAAATGTATTTGTTTTCCGTAAAAGAAGTTCACATACTGGTACTTAAGTCACGTAGATTGTGGACAGGTGTTAATAAATTAGTCTGTGTAATTCTATTTAAAGTTGAATTTATGTTTTTTCGCTGCTTCTGATTTTTGATAAACATTTTTAGATTTTGGAGCCCTGTGCAAAAGAATGTATTTTTGTAAGCAGCTTTATTTATAACTAAATCATAAAAGAATTACATGGGTAAGTATATATTTATTTGTGACAGAAAAGAAATAAATTTGACTGCACACTTTAGGAAATACAAACATCGGAACTTGTTAA